CACCCTTCCCAGAGTCCAGGTTCAGTTGCATCATGTGCCTCCACAGGGGCCCGTGGGTGCCACCGCCATGCAGCAGGGCCTGTGCACAGAACCGCACCACCAGTCGGAGGGGACCCTGAGGGTGGGCTCTGTGTGGTACCCTCCGAATGAGCAGTGTCAGCAGTAGGTCCTGGCCCCACTCGGGCGTCCTGGCCAGGTGAAGCTGCAGCTGCACTGGCTGAGCCACAAGATCCCCAGATCCCAGGAGATCCAGGAAGGGTGAAGAGGTTCTTTTTGGGCCCAGCATTTTTCGGGAGGCCTTCATAAATACAGATCGCTCCTCAGGGGATCCTGGCAGAAAGGAGAGAAGGGAAAGACGTGATGGTGAGGGGTGGAGAGGACCCAAGACCTTTAGGAGAAGCCACTCAGCATCTCCCAGCCCCCTCCCCACTTCCAACCATGCCAATAGCAGCATAGGGAGGGGCGCAGCCTCATGGCTGAGAACGTGGGCATTGCTCAGGTCCAGGTTCAAATCCTGACTCTACCACAGTCCCTTAATCTCTCGTGCTCGGTCACGTTCTCTGGAACCCTCTGGAACAAACAGGGATGATATTTGCTTGTTTCAGAGTGTTGTCAAAAATGGTTGGGTTAAGTGAGTTCTGAAGGTAAGCGCTCAGCACCATTCCTTGTCATCAATATTGCCACCATCATCACTATCATCATCACTGAAGCTGGAGGCTTCTCTCCCACCCCAGCATCCTCATCCTTATTCTTTTTTTTTTTTTTTTTTTTTGAGACAGAGCCTCAAGCTGTCCCCCTGGGTAGAGTGCCGTGGCATCACAGCTCACAACAACCTCCAACTCCTGGGCTCAAGCGAGTCTTCTGCCTCTGCCTCCCAAGTAGCTGGGACCACAGGTGCCCGCCACAATGCCCGTCTATTTTTTTGGTTGCAGCCATCATTGTTGTTTGGTGGGCCCGGGCTGAATTCAAACCTGCCACCTTAGGTGTATGTGGCTGGCGCCTTAGCCACTTGAGCCACAGGCGCTAAGCCCATCCTGATTCTTTAGACCTTTAAAATAGATCTTCCTCTTTTGCCCTTGGGGGCTACTCAACTTTGAGGCTGATTTCACACTTAACCTCCTGTGTGGACTTCTCTAGAGCAGTTACTATGTGCCAGAAGTCTGCTTCCAGTGCCCTCTGTGATTAACTCATTTAACCCACATGACAGTCCTCTGAGGTACTGTTATCCCATTTTGCAGATGAAGAGATGGGGGCACAGGGATGGTAAACTGTGTCCAGGTTTACACAGCTGGAACACACAGAGCCTGGCTGAGTACTCAGGCAGCCTGACACCACCCGAGCACTCTCCATGGGGACACCGGGCCCGTCCCTCCTGAGCATTCACCCCTCCCCTTGCTGCCACCATACTGCCACGGACATAGGAAGATGGGAAAGAGTTCCCAGATAAAATCTAGGACATCAAATTAAATTTAAATTTCAGATAAACAATGTCACATGCACTATTTGGAACATATTTATATTAAAAATCATAACCAGTTAAATTTGAACATCAGATAAACAGTGAATACTTTTTGGTATAAGTATGTGGCATACAACGTTTAGGACATTGTTGTAACAAAATGCTTGTTTATCTGGAATTCAAATTTAACTGGGCACTCTGAATTTTTATTTACTGAATCTGGCAGCACTACCCTAGGGCTACATACTCTGGGAGTTTGCCACGAGGAAGATGTGATTAGATGGTAATGGCTTCAACCTGGAGCCACCTCAGCTGGGGGGCAGCCCCAAAGAGATTACACCAGCCCCCTCCCCGAATGCCCAGGGCCCAGGCACCTTCTGAATACTTGTAGGAGCTGGTGATGTCCTGGCGCTGGTCTGACCCCACCATCTTGATGCTGATGGCCTTCCCGATGGAACTGGTGTTGTGGGCCAGGATTTCCTGGGCCTGGCCACCCCTGAAGAGCCAAATGACTTCATCGGCATTCACCTCCGCATACACAAAAGGGGTGTCATAGGGCAGGTGGACCTCCCCCTCCTTGATGGCCTTCACAGAGGCAGGACCACAGCAGAACAGCCCTGGAGTGGCAACAGGAATTAGAAGACGGCTGCTGACATGGGGGCCAGGGACAGCTGATCATGGCTGGGGAGGTGGGGCAATGGTGTGGGCACTGGTGCTGCTGACTCTTACCTGTGCAGGGCCCTGTAGTTTACCAAGCACTTTTGTTCCCATTCATTCATCTAACCCTCACCACCTCCCTGTGGAGTGACAATTATCATCTTCCCCCCTTTACAGGTGGGAAAATTACATGACTCATCCAGGTGGCTCCACTGTCAGTGGCAGGGTTAGAGTCCTGCTACAACTTCCAAAAGAGGGTAAAGTGTGGAGACACTGCTCCTCTTTGGCCTCCTGCCCACATGGCAAGTCATCCTAACCGGCCCTCCCACCTTCCCACAGAGCCTGGAACCCGTCCCAGTGGCCGCACTCACCACTGCTAGTCTGCTGGGGTGTGGGGTCCAGAACTTGCCACCCATTGTAGCCTGGTGGGAGATCTTTCCGGATCATCCAGCACTCGTTCCAGACATGGAAGTTCCTGCAGAAGGAAGGAAGGAGGCCAGGGTTCACGTTAGCTGAGGTGTTACCACATGCCAGACACCACACTGAGTAATTTCTATCATTCCTTCTCCTTTATTCCTTTTT